TTTTTTTTAATTCTACAAGTTTTCTTCTACAAGTTGTGTAGTTTTAGCTCTCATACTTAGGTCTCTGGTTCCTTATGATTTTTTCTCTAGTATTATTGAGTAACATTAACATTTTTATTGTCATTATTACATTTTGTATAGAGCCCTTTCCCTCAGTAAAGCAATTTGGTTCTGAAAAAATTACTTTATTGTTGAAATATGGAATAGTAAATAGTAATTAGAGAATTTACTTCTGGAACAGTTGAGTTCATTTTTAATATATGGTGAGAGTTAATAGTCTGAGGGGTTGTGTGTGTGTGTATTTTGGTATGTGGATGTCTCACTTCAACACCATTTGTTGTAAAGACTAGATTTTTCCAAACTTAACTACTCTGGCACTTTTGTTGAAATCAGTTTGTTATCTATATAGGTGTGGGGTGTCTATTTTTGAACTCTTTATGTTCCTTTGACTTATCCTTATTTCAGTAACACACTTTTGATTACTTTAGCTTTGTAATGGTTTTTTAAATTATATAGCAGAAATCTTCTCTTTGTTCTTTGCACAGTTCTTTTGACTCTTTTAGGTCATTTTCATATAGAGTTGAGAATCAAGTTTCCAGTTCCTACCCAAAAAATCAAGTTTCCAGTTTCTGCCAAAAAATCCCATAAAACAGAGTTTTGCTTGGGCTTGCTTTGCATCCATAAATCTACTTAGAGAAGGTTGACATCTTAATCTTGAGTCTTAACATGTGAACATGTTAACATTCCATTTATATATTTTTAAACAGTTATATTGTCAGTTCATCCACATATAATTCAGTAGTTCAACCATATCAGGAAGAGTTGTACAGTCTTCATGACAATCAATTTTAGAACATTTTGTTTTTCCTGTATTCATTATTATTCATGTAATTTTTTCCCCCATTTTGGCAAAAATATACAACAAAGCAATCACCAATTCAACAACTTCAAGATGTATAATTCAGTGCCATTCATTCTTCGTGTTTACAACCATTATTGCTGTCCCTCTCCAAATGGTTCCACCACCATTAAAATGAACTCAATGTCCCCTAAGCAAAAACTCTTCATCCTTAACCCAAGGTAACCACAGGTCAAGTTTGGCTTCTTTCTTTTTTTTTTTTTTAGTGCTTTTCTTGATAAAATATTCACATATCATATACTTCCATAGTTAAACTGCTTCTAAAAAGAGTTGTATGTAAAGCATCACATCAGCTCTAATGTTCCCCCCCCTCCATATTGATATTTTCTTTAATTTTGTTCTTCATGGTTTTCAGAATATAAGTGTACATATTTTACTACTTTGATCTATAAGTTGTTCCTATAATTTTGATGTTATTATTGATACTGTTTTTAAATTTTCATTTTCTAATTATTTGTTACCTATAGATAGAAACAGACACTTCTTTATGTTGGCTTTTTAAAACATTTTACCCTAAGGTGAATGAACAATGTTCATCATATATATACACACTCACACGCATATGTGTACATAACAATATGTTGTGGATTCTACAAGAACAAAGACACTGAGGAGGGTTGTGGTTTATTTTTAGAATTCTCATCAAAGGTAGGGGCAGGAGAGTCATGGAAAGTTTTAGCTACTTCTGTAGTACAAGATTCCAATTGCTGGCATGAGTT